TGCCATCGGATGCCACCAGAGCTCAATTCTCCACCTCTCTCTTCCAGAAGGACGGGATGCAAAGATCAGTGAGTGCCTTTTCCTGCCCCTTTGTCCCCCTGGGACAAGCTCCAGGTGCTGGAGCCTGGACCTCACGTTCCCTTTGCTCCCAGGGCGGATGACAGAGGCCTCTGGTGAGTGGTTCCCTCCTCTTGCTGCTCCTGGTCCATCGCGCAGCGGCCACCACCAACGTGTCGCGTTTCCCTTTGTTCCATCTAGAGGAGGATGATGCCGAGCTGGGTGAGTGGGGTTTGCCTGCTGGGAATGCATCTGGAATGATGGGCCGGATCCCTGCGATCCCACAGCATTCCTGAAGCTCCCTTCGGATCCTTGCTCCTCCGGGGGCTGACCTGGCTTTGTTTCTCCCTTCTTCTCAGAGGAATGTGACACAGAAAACGGTGAGTTCCTGCCTCCTTTAGGGCTCGTCTCTACAACAGTGGCCTTGTCCACAGCCCACAGGGATAAAACCTTTCCTCTTTTACCTTCATCTTTCCCTTTATTGACTCCTTTTCCCTGGATTTGGGAATTCGGAGCTCTCGGAGCCACGTTCCTCCTGGAAGCGCTGCCGAGAGCGAGCGGCACCTTGGGCTCCCTCTGTGTCATTTCAGCTTCCCAACAGGCAGGAAGGTCTTAAGACATAGAACTAGTGGTAAATCCTCACTAGAGCAGCTAATCCTAGAGGATAATTAGGGATAAATCCAGGTGGGGCAGAGATTGTGTCTGGTCCGAGAAGGAAAATAGAGCTATGGAATGTGGAAAATAACCTGGAGCTGTTTCCCTTCTCCTGTGTTCATTGTGGGGACACACGCAGAGATCGGTACGTATCACCCTCCATGCTTCCCAAACGGGCTCCTATAACAAGGAATTGCTTGTTGGGATCCAGCCACATCCCAACCCGCACGGCTCTGCCCGTCACCCTACCCAGGGATTCCAATGGGACGGATTCCCATCATCCCTTAACGCTCATCCTGCTTTGTTTCCCTGCTTCCAGGTGAACTTACAGCAGAACTCAGTAAGTCTTGATGCGCTTCCCATGGGATGGGTTCCTGTGGGTTGGGTTCAGGTGACTTGCCAGGGGTTTATTCCCGGTTTCTCCCTGTTTTCCCTCAAAAGCAGCAGAGGCTCCAGGAGACCTTAGAGCAGCCCCAGTGCCTAAAGGGGCTACAGGAAACCTGGAGAGGGGCTTTGGATAAGGAATGGAGGGACAGGACAAGGGGGAATAGCTTCAACCTGCCAGAGGGAAGAGCTGGATGGATATTGGGAAGCAGAGGGTGGTGGGACACCGGGATGGGTTGGATGGAGAAGGTTTGGATGTTCCATCCCTTCACGGCCATCTTGGAGCAACCTGCCCTATGGAGGGTGTCCCCATGGCAAAGGGTTGGAGCTGGGGGAGCTTTAAGGTCCCTCCAACCCAAAGCATGAACAGTGAGAACAAAGGGGATTCCCAAGCCAAAGCCCTGGACAGGGCAGGAGCATCCCGGAGCCTGGCTGAAAACCTGGATTTCCTCTCCTCTTGTTGACCATTCCTTGCTTTTCCATGTGTTTCCAACCAGACAGCCTGAGCTCCGAGCTGGGTGAGTGCTTCCCTTCCTATTGCCTTTGTTCCATTGGGATGTTTAGGGAAGGGGTGGTTATTCCCTCCTCTCACACTCTTTTTTTTTCTTTCCTCCAATCTGGGCTACAAATAACCTCAACCCGTTCCATAGAATGGTGTAATTCCACATTATTCCAGGATTTGGGATGGGAGGATGATGGGGGGGGTTGCGATGGGGACCTGGGGAACATTCCCTCACCTTTGGTGTTTTCCCTTTCAGAGGAACGTGACAGGAGAATCAGTAAGTTCCACTTCTCATTCCTGGTGGGAATCAAAGCCTGGATCACCCTGTGTGCTCCGGACCTGCTTACTAAAGGATTTGGGGGATAAATGGGAGGGTTTGGGATTGTCCCATTGCAGAAGTGGGGTTTTGGGCTGCTCTGCCTCAGCTTCCCGTAGCTCATCCCTGTTTCCATCGATACAGGGATGGTTCTTTCCCGTATCCCAAAGCCTCTTTGGGCTCATTCCCATCAGCGTGGGGCAGTTAGAACACAATTTGACCCTTGGGAAAGCCATGGGCAAATCCATAGGGAAATCAGGGTGGATTTTTAAGGCTAATACTCCTGTCTTTCCTCTGATTCCAGGCAAACTCACGGCAGAGCTGGGTAAGGAGCTTTCGTGTCCTTAATGTTATCCTTCGGGATGGGGAAACCTGGGAAAACAGAGTGGTTTGGGGGGGAATAAGTGGCTTAAAGGGGGATTTCTCCCTTCCCAAAGCCCGGGTTTGGGATATTCTACTGAAGGTGTCCATGGGATGGTGTTTCCATGGGGTTGGATTGATTCCATGGAGCCAGAGCAGCACAACCACAGGGAATGGGGCTGGGAAGAGCTGTTGGTATCTCTGCAGTGATCGATGGTTTCTTGGTTCTTTTAGGGGAATGTGATGCCAAGATCAGTAAGTGGAATTCCTCCGCGGATGGGTGGGAAAACGGGAGCAGAGGGGGAAATCCTGCTGGAAACCTGGAAGGGGGTTTGTAGACAGAGTAACATCCAGCACAACACGTAATTCCAGGGTATAACCCTCGGCTCAAGGTGATGCTGGGGTGGGAATAGTGGCATTCCCAACCCGAGTGCTCCAGCAGTGCCAGGAACAGGGAAAGAAAGCACTCACTAACTGTTTTCCTGCCTTTTTTCCCCATTTGCTTCCCAGAGGAACGCGATAGGAAAACCAGTGAGTACCATTTTAGTGGGTTTGGGGTGAAAACCCCAGATTTGGGGCAAATCTGAGCAGCTCCGGCTGGGAAAAGTACCAAATAGGAACATTTCCCCCCAGATCACAGCCTGAGCTTTGGCTTTTCCCTAAATCCCCCCGCAAATAACCAGGAATGTCCTTTCCCTCCTCAGCCAAACTCGCCGCCGAAGTCCGTGAGTGCTTTTCCCTCTTTTCCATCCCGAACTCTGGCTTTTGGGGCTCGGAAACCTCCGGTCTGGGGTCCCTTGGCTCCATCCAATGCCTCTTCTTTGCCTCTTGTCCCAAAGGGCGACTCACTGTTCTGCTGGGTGAGTGTGGTTCAACCTCCCATTCCCAGCATGGATTGTATGGAATGACATGGGAGGAACCTCACTCCCACCTCCTGGCCTTTGAGCCGTTGTGCTGCGGGAAGAGGGACAAACCTCCCTCCTCCCCCCCAAAAATGCTGGATTTGAGTCTTTTTCCCTTCCTTTTCCATGCAGGAGAGAGGGATTCGAGGCTTCGTAAGTGCTTTTGCTGCTCCTGATGGGCTCAGTCTGGGTCCAGGAGAGCTTTTCCTCATGTGTTCCCAGGGGATCTCCTCTCCTGGGCACCACTTTCCTCAGTTTTCCAGTGTTTATGAATCCCAAACCTGCCATCGCCCCCAAATGGGCATTGCTGGAATGGTGCTTTCCCTCACTACTGTATTCCCTAATCCCTCTTCCCTTTCCCCTCCTCTTT